TCTCTTCTCTTCTCTTCTCTTCTCTTCTCTTCTCTTCTCTTCTCTCTCTTCTCTTCTCTTCTCTTCTCTTCTCTTCTCTTCTTCTCTTCTCTTCTCTTCCTCTTCCTCTTCTCTTCCTCTTCTCCTCTCTTCCTCTTCTCCTCTCTTCCTCTTTCTCTTTCTTCTCTTTTTTTTCCCCTTCACTTCCCACAGAATTGTTTTGGAAGGAATTTTGCTTCTTAAAGCAAGAGTTGAGTTCTCTGGGTACAACAGCACAGAGTTCATAGGGTTTGTTTAGTAGTGCTGCCCTGGTGCTGCTAAAAACATAAATATCTAATCCACTGAGGTGTCAAGACATTTGAAATACTGATTTTCTTGTAGAATCTGGTGCCATCAACACCTAGTTAAGGGCTAAATCGTTATACTCAATGATTAGAGACTGGTGGGGTTTTTTTAAGTGAATATTTTTAGAGTGGATTTTTTCTTAGAGAGGACCCTGAACTTTGTAGAAACAATTTTTCTGTGAATGGTTCTAATGTCCCTACTAAAGAGAAACCCAGAACTCCAGGGCTGAAAGCCATATTACCACTTCTAGATGTATTTCCATTTCCTGTAGTGATGCAGGCTGTAAGGGTGAGATCTGTCTCTCAAAATGCAGCATTCGGGATTCCTTTTAAAGTAGTGGTGACGTGCAGAATCTCTGGGGCTGTGATTTTTCTCATCCTGAAGCTACTACTTAAAGTTCACCAAATACGGCTTTTTTTTTTTAATAATTAATTATTATTAATTTTTATTGAAGCCTATGTTACTGGTGCAGCCAAAAGTATTTAAAATTAGGTGAGCTCTCACCTCTGCTGCCTCTTGTGGTCCATGTCCAAGTGAGCTGTTTTGGCTGGGGTTTTATCAGTGTGTGTCATGTTTCAGTCTGGCAAAGCAGTCCATAGTCTGCTGGCTGCCTGACCACTCTGTGTACATAGTAAAATAATAGTTCAAGGTTTGTGTTGTGAGTGGATTTTCAGAGTTAATGCCCAGGAATCTGTTGTGGACTGCAGTCCATAAGGAGAGAATTTTAGAAAGGTTGGGCAGGTCAGTTTGGAAGGGTGACGTGGGCAGTGAAATGAGGTGCAAGAAAGCTTTACCCTACAGTTCTTTGGAGCTCCTCTTGTTTGCTTTCTTTTACTGTTCTTTGCTTTGGTAACTTGGTAGCAATTCAGTCTACCTGTTTTCCTCTCACTCCAAGTCTCCTATGACTTCAGAATCTTGTGCAGCTCTGGAATAGGGAAATGAGGGCAAGAGGTTAGTTGGGATGGATTTACAGGCTACAGTCCTAGAATCATGGAATGGTTTGGGTTGGAAAGGACTTAAAGAACATCTTGTTCCAGCTCTCCTGCCATGGGCAGGGACACCTTCCACTAGACCAGATTGTTCAGAGTCAACCCATGGCTGAGCCTCTACCCCAGGGGCTGCTTCCAAAGTGTTTTCCAAGGCTGGATTGTTTGGGAGCACTGATGGACAAAATGCAGCTGTGGATAAACACAGAGGGACTGAGAGGAGAGGCTGTGCTTGCTCCAACATGATGTGATGTGATTGCAGCCATGGGGCTGTGCTGACCTCCTGGAGGAGCTCTGGCTGGGACAATATTCATTAGGTGCTAAGTGACAAGTTACTTCTGTCATGGCAAGGCTTTCCCAAAGATGGAAAGAGAGGTGGGTTTTATTGAACCTTTCAGGGACAGGCTGAAAAATCTGAAAGTTCTTGCTTTTTGAGTGGCACGTTTTCTAGAAATGAAACTGTAAATATAATTTGTTCTTTCCTGGAATCATAGGAAAATGGTTTGATTTCCTTTCTATTATGCAAGCAGAATTCTTTTTAAAAAGTGCCTATGAATTATTACTGCAATTTCAATAGCTGGGGTAGATGCACTGCAGCCAAAAATCTGTTTGAACTGTTTTTGCTGTTTCTATAGAGAAGTGTGTGGTGCTGACTTATATTGTATGCTATTAAGAAGTTTTAGAACATATTGGAAAGATGAACATTGTCAGGAGAACTTAATGAGAGAAACATAATTCTCTGAGAAGCCATTGAATGAGAGTTTGCAGTGGGGATGTTGGCTGGGTATCCCAAGAAACTTTTTTTAGCAGTGAAAACTTTGGTTACAGTGAGGTACAACAGGTTTTAGCTTTGTGTCTCGAGTCTTTGAAACATAATAACAGAAATCCTAGAGTTTGACTCCTGCAAGAATTAGAATAGTAATTGTAGGTGTATTCTACAGTGCCAAAAAATAAGCTGGAATAGCAGGCTCGTGGCAGTAGATGACACTTTGTTACTTTTATTTTCTTCCGATAGGAGCTGTGGTGATTTCTGTCGCAGATAAACACTTGTTACTGCAGGGAAGGTGATGTTACCTGTTGCAGGAGGCCTTTGGAAACTGCTGTGAAAATACAAGGGGCTGTTTTTATTTTGTTTCTTTGTTTAATAGTGAATGTCAGTGAGGGCAAGAACAGGTAAATACAGGAAGATTGACATTCAGTGGCCTTCTTACAATATGTCTGCACACATTTATCACTACTACCATTATATCTTTGTCAAAGGCAGTTTATATATGGCAATATTTGTTCCCTGCTAGCACCTTAAAGAGGACAGCCAAGAGATGTCCCATCACATATGGATGATTGTGTTGCTCTTTTTTAAAATTTTCCATTTTGTGCCTGTTGCTCCAAACTTTCTGTATCTCCAAACAGGCATTTCTTTTAAAATGGCCCCAAATTACTGTGTTTCTGAAACAGTTTCCCTCATTTTCCTCCATCTAATCTTCCAGAGTATTAGAACCAGAGTTGGATCAGAAAAAATACTCAAGAACATCTCTCTAGATCCTGGTCTTGATTCATTCCCTCAGTGAGTGTAGGAACAACTAGTCCTAGGATGGATAACTAACTTGGCTTGCAGTTTACTTGGATTTGATATGGTCAGCTATGCTGGATATGAAACTGCTCATTTATTTCTGTAAAGAACATTGCATTTTGGGTAATATAGAGGTACTTTTTGAGTCACTGTAAGATAACAGTATTAATGGTATATGTTGCTTTTAAAAATCATGGATCTTGGGTGTAGTACTTTGATGGAAAATCCAACTTTCTGGTGGATTTTTACTGCAGTGTCAGGGAAAGCTGGCTGCAAATGGTAGAGCTGAAATTGGATGTTGAGTCAAGGGTGTTTGTAGAATATCTGAAAAAGAAATGAAGAAGACAAAGATAACTTTCATTTTTATGTAAATAAAAGTATTAAGAAAGTGAGGGGGAAAAAACCCCCAACAGCAGGGAATTTGCTGTTTAAGGACTTCTATTTAGGAAGCAGAGGAAAATAAAAAATACAATAACATATAGAAAATTACTTAATTTATTCTGTGTGTCTTGCCATCTACCCTTGTCTTGGAGCAGGACATGGTTTGAGGTATCACTTCTCCTTTACTCATCAGGAAGCAATAAGAAATACCTCTGTCCATCCCTTACACTCTTGCTTTTATACTGTGTTTTATCTACATTCCGAAACAACGAGGATTTGTGTCCCACACATCCAAAAGGGGCAGGTTTAGAAGCTTAGGCTTTCCTTCTGGTTCTGCCTAGGCAGTGAAAGGAGAATGTTTGGCTTGGCTCCAGTTGTGGAAGCTTAATTTGAAGGACCATCTTGTATCACCACGCTCTGAAAATTGCTTTCCGTAAGTGATTTATCAAGTTCTGGCCTGGGTAGCTGGATGGTTACAGTGCAGAGGCAATTAAGCAAGCTGAGGGAAATCCCAACTTAATTACCTATGATGGGAAAACACCCTTTTATATCAGCAAGGCCAGGGTTTCTCATCCTCAAGGGTCCCATGGCATAGAAAACAAGGAGAGCTAATCAAAAGTTCCATCAAAATCTATTGAAATTTCTTTACAATAATTTTTTTTTTTTAGTTCGTTTGGTGATCACAAAGGAATATGGTTTATAGAGTTATAAATGCAAGGCTGTAATGTTATAAGCTATTCAAAGCATTAGCTTTAGTAGTTGTATTATTGTTTTATTAATTTATTACACTCAAAGATTTTGCAAAGGTAAAGACTGCAATTGCAATTTACATAAATGATTGTTTTTGCATTAAATGTTTTTGGGTAAGCGAAGAGTAGTGAAGTTACTGAAACAATGGAAAATCTCATGTAAAACATCTTCTGGTTTGGTTTTATCTGTATTTTGGAAGTTCAATGCTAATGATTCTCCTTTTGTTTTTCTTGCAGCTAATTCCAGCCTTCTTGGAGGTGGAGGAGGTGAGTCTTTGCTTAATTCCGAATTCACTTTTAAATAACTGTGAAATATGTGCTGGACCAGTGTAGTGATTAGTTGGTTATGAAATAATAGGTGATAAGTTCAAAAGTTGAAAATGTAAAATTATTAGATGGGAAAACTCACCAGAGTTGATAATCTTTCATATCATCAGGAGGCAAGGTTTGTGGCTGCTGCTGAATTCGGTTTCACCTCTGGATTAGAGTGGGGGCTGACCTGTATGTGAGGCTGAGTGAAACAGAAAGGAACTGAACTGCCTTATGTTGTGTTTTTAAGATTCTAAGATTTTTAATTTACCCCAGGGGAACCTCAAATATATGTTAAATAAACAATTTTTAAAGAAATTATTAAAACACAGTAAAAATAATTTTAGTAAATGAATGAGGCTTTGTCTTTGTGCTTTTAAAAAAAAAAATCATGTTTTCAACTTGGTTGCTTACCTCATTCAGTTTGCCAGAATACTCAAATAGATTTCAATACAAATCTTTGGTGCAGGTAAGAGATACTATGAACATGTCTACTCGTAAGGCAGGAATGCTCCATCACATAGAGAGTGTATTGTTTCCAAATACATGGATGCTGGTTTTTTTTTTTGGTAGATCGATGCTACTTTGCTTTTTGTAATCCTGTAGTACCATGGCCATAAAAGCTTACGTGAGTGTTAACAATTCAGGAAAGAAAAACCCACGAGGAGCTTGATCTCAGTTTTCTGTGACTTCCCCTGCCTCCCAGAGGGAAGCAAAAGTGCTCAGTTCTGGAAATTTCACAGCGCAGGAGCGGTACAGGCAGCGACTAATCTTCCTTCCTGGCGGGAGTTAAAAGGACTGGATGATCAGAGCTTACATATGTAAGGGTAAAGGAAAAGGCTCTGTAAAAAGACAGGAGATCTCTGTTGCTTGGGAGGCTGCAGGATAAGTTGTCAAAGCTTTTGTTTTATCTGAACAGGCAGCCCTTATTTTGGACCGTGAAAAGGTGCTTCAGAACTGCACCCTTAATAAAACCAGCTAAATAAAACCCTTCGTGTTCCTCAGCTGTGTGTCTGGACATTAATGTACAGGGCAGCCTTACCTGTTAATCCTGTTGGATTAATCTGTTTCTTTTGATTTGAGTTAGTTGTTTGCAGTATACCAAATTTTTCTTTGTTTAAAAGATAATCCTTTTGGAGGTAATCCTTCCCTAGCTATTCCTGTTTCTGCAGAGCTGTTCCTGTACCTCCTCTCCAGCACTTGCTCCCAGCTGGTAACATTGAAAAAAAAATTATAAATCAATGCAAATGTTCAAATTCCAATCAGGTTCCCAGAGCACTGCTGCTGAAAGGATTTGGCTATTAACTTTCTGTGGTATTTATTCAGCTGGACTGTACTTCAGAAGTTGATATCTGCTCAGCATGGCACTTGATAATGTGGCTCTCCCTCTGCAGCAGTTGGGATGAACCTGTGCTGTAGGTCAAGTTGGGATTTTCCCCGTATTTTATGTGTTGAAAGGAATATATTGGCAATTGAAACTCCTGCCATCCCCCTCCTGCCATGGACTCTTTGGTCTCCCACCCCTCAGGGCGGGCTGCGCTGGTGACAGCCCAGGAGGCTGGTTCTGCTTCTCTTCTCCTCTGCTTCTCCATCCCTCCTCCTTCCCCGACATCCTTTGGGGCTTTTAGCACCCTTTTTAACACAAGTGCCCTCAGGACCTTTGGGAAGCTGCTGTGGCAGGCTGGGTTTGGGCGGCGGTGGGTCCCTCAGGGAACCGGCTGTGCTGGGCTGGGGGCAACCATAGGGGGATCTGCTGCAGCTTCTGTGCCCGGAACCTCAATCCCACACCCTTTAATCTCCAGTGGAAGGATAGCAACGTACCCCCTTGCTTGTGATACAGGTAGAATACCAAATGTGACAGTTTTATGGCTTAGAGTGTGACTGCTGATGTCTGAGGGGCTGTGTTGGCACTCTGGAGGTGCCACGAGCCACCCTTGGGTAGGGCGGCCGACACGTCCTCAGGGAACACTCGCTTGAGTTTTCCAAGTTTTCTGCGGAAAACCCCTGAGAATTTCGTAGCCAAAGTACTCCAGATTTTGAGCAGGCACCATGGGGTGCCTGTTCCGGAGAAGGAGAGCGTGTGTGGGGTCTGCAGGCTGGAACTTGCCAAGGGGGGACAAAAAATGGAGGCAGCCCTGGCCACCCACCCGCCTTCCACAGGTGGATGGAGCCTGGAGCCTCTGGCTCTTGGAAAAATACTGGCCACAGGCATTTCTCTGTACAAGGGATTTTTTTCATTCCCAGCTGGATGGTTGTGGATTTTAAATGCTGGATGTATTTTTTCCTTTATCCAGAAGGAAGAGGTGGCAGCACTCCGCGTGAACTATTGATAGTGAATTATTAAAACTTTATTATATACGTAAACACCAAAGCCTTCTTTTGATTGCAGATGCTGAATATTTATGATAATGCATAATACCAGTGTAGTTTCTCCAATAATGGGATTCAGATCTCTTCAGTAATGCTCATTAATTTAATCTCTCTGTCACTGCTGGGGGTATGAATACATTTCTTAGATTTACAGAAAAAGAAAACTGGAAATTTCTGCTTGTCCAAGGCTGTGCAACAGGTATTGTGATTTTGAGCTGCTTCTGAGCTGTTCTACATTTGAAATCTTTCCAGAACTGAACATAAATCAGTTGGAAATAGTTATTTGCACACCCTGGTCTAAGTTTGTGTGTGCTAAAACCATCTACTGGAAAAGATCTGTCACTGAACAACATTGTTGGTAAATATCTTGCACTTGGATCTAAGTTCAGGGGCTGGTGGTTTTGGGCTTATCATCCCTGTGTCACCTCAGGGCCACATCAGGGCATCCGTGTACTTTCATTTCCCAGCAGAGTAATGGTTTGTTCTTGCATTCTCCATTTAAATGCTGTCTGTTCATGTTCATGACCATTTGGAATGAAGAGATAAAAGCACAAAAGATACTAGAAACAATTTTTCACAGAACTGTTTAATCATAAAATCGAGAAACCCACAGTAGAGTCTTTAGTTAAATATAGATGTTGAAGGTTTCTTTCTGCTTTTCAAATAACTCTGAAGTTTCCAGGATTTCGTTATGAGTTTGGTGAGTGAGCCTTTTTTCTTTTTCATTCTTTACTGGTTTTAATAATTGATTTTTAATTAGGAGGCATATTTCACTTTCAGGTCTAGATTTATCACATATTCAGCATTTCACTGCTAATAACTTGCATGGAGCATTATGACTTATTTGTGCATCATGTATTATTTGTCCCATTATGTTCAGCAGTGCAGAGGTGAAAATTATAAAGAAAATAACCTGCATTTGGAGGGAGTGAGGAAAACCACTTGGTATTTTGAGGAAAAGAGACCCCTTTTAAAAAATATGTTATGAAGTTCTGACTCGAGAAATTGAAATGCTCTATTTTGCATGGCAGTCTTTTTTCCTTACATTCTTTTACAGTTTTGTCAAGGAATGAAAGCATGTGATTTTATGCACTTTGTTAAAGCAAAGTGAGCAAGAACTGTGATTTCTCCTCCCTTATGTTGAGGGTAGTCTGGGTTTTTTTAGGATTTTATGCCCCGCCATCCCCACCTCGTTTTCAGATATTTTCCTTGTGGTTCATTTTTTCTTTACTTCATTTGCTAACTGTAATCAAGGTCTTCTTGCATGCTGATTTCTGGATTGGCATGATTTCTTTGACCTTATATTGAGGGTATTTTTAATTTTGGATTTTTTTCCCCCTCATGAGATTTTGTTGCCTGTGCTGGAATTGGGGAAGGCGACATCATCTTTTAATGTGTCCTGTTATGAGTGTAGTTTTTTTCCGCTCTGTACTTGAAACTGGTAATTTTGTCTTTACAAACTCAAAGAGAAGACAGGTTATATTTCTTGGGAGTGCTATTTGGACCCAGTTTAAGTTGGTTGCCCCAAAAGATCTGTCTGTTTTTCTGTTTGTCTCTTTTTTTTTGGCCAGTGTAACTGTTTTTTCTAGAGCTTTTGCTGGCATACAAAGAAATGTAATTCCTATATAGCCATAAGTATGTTATCATATCTTAAAAGTAGACCAGACCTACCTCTCCACTCTGCCAAGATATGGTTTGTAGGCAAGGTTTTAAGTAACTCTCACTTGTGTTTGTGGTCACAGCAGGGAACTGGGTTTCTCTGCACATTATTCTGTAGGCTCCATTTTGAAATTGGGATTTGCTGCCTCTATATCTGTGTTACTTTCTAATAGCAGCAAAAAAAGTGTTCTCTCCCAGTAGAAAGAAATTTCCACAGACTCATTTCTATCCTGGAGTTGTTTCTCTTCAAAGGTGGGACGAGCACAACCACCTTGGCTGTGCTAATGCTGCAGAAATAGAGGGGAACTGATGGGGAGGTGCTGCTGCAAAGTCACTGCTGTTTGCAGCCATCCTATTTGTCAATTAATTGTAGGCTAATGAGCTCAAAAAGCAGGTGATTATCCAGCCAGTAGTGTCAGGAAGGAACAGCTGACACAAATATATTGACATCCTTCCCCTTGGGATAAAGTTTTTATTCTTGCAGATGTGCCTTAGGTGCTGGACTCACCATGTCCAGCAACCACCTTCTGGTAGTCACATCTCTAGGGAAAAAAGCAAGGAAGTTTTGCACTGTCTGAATAGTAACTTGACATCAATTTACTTGGTGCATGAATATTCGTGACACTGAGAAGCGAAGTTGTACAAGAGAAAATTGGAGGCAGGAAGGAGACAAGTTGCAGATCACCCTGTAGCAATGTTTGCTGGAAAACACTTCCAATACCAGCCTGGCCCTGCACTAGCCCATTCAAAATGTATAACAGGAAGAAGATAAGCCTGTTTTATCCTGAACCAGGACGAGATGCTCCCTGTTTTGGATTTCACAGGGCTTGGGTTTGATATTTACATAATTTAAATGCAAGTGAAGTAAGGGTTTAAATCCAAAGTTCAAATTTGTGCATGATGTGCACATAACATGAAACGCATCCCTCGACAAGGAGAAGAAAGAGTTTGGGAAAGGAGCACTGACAGGATTCTTTCATCAAGAAAATAAGCATTATTATTTTGTATTATTTTATTTATGCCAGTCTGTTGGCATGTTCTTGTATCCTGTCAAATGCATTTGTCAGATTGGGGTGTGCTCACAACAAATGGCTCCACGGAACAAATGTGCTTCATCTGGGATTGCAACCACCTTCACAAGCTTTGGGTTGCTTTGTACAGAGCACCCTCATATCTTAGGTATTTACATAATAGCTCTGGAGGTACAAAGATTTTCCAAGCAAATAATGATCATGGCAAGAACTGATAATTTAAGGCAAATGGCCATTTGCCTTTGTTGCTAATTAATCCCTTTCTGCTGGAAGATTGCTGCTGCAATTCTGTAGGGTTGTTAAAAGTGTTTTATCTCCTTTTACTATTTGCATGCTGTTCTTTTTCATCTCTGTAAATAGAGTGGGTTTGAGAGGGCTGCATCCACAAGTTCCCCCACTGTGACAGTGCATCAGCCAATTAAAATGTTAGTATTTATGTATTTTTTTTCTGTACAGCTCTAATATTAGTTCCATTGGTAGCCCCTTAGCTCAGGGTAGACTGTAACCCTTTCCAGGTGTTTGGTTCAGCCCAAAATCTTGTTATTCAAGAGCTTTTTGTTGTATCAGATCAAAGTAAAAAGACTGCTCTGTAATTTAACATCTTTTATAGAATTTATTCAAACTTTCTGTGCAAGCAAAGTCTTTCTTTACAGGTCAGTTGTTCTTGAAATGTTTTTTCTTTCTTTCTTCAATCTGTGTTTGCTTTTGCCTTCTGTTATTGCAGGGGAATTTTAGTTCAGCTTTAATTAAAAGTAGTGGGTTTTCTCATTTTGTAGTGCATCTAGAGATATAATGATGAAAGCTCTATAAATAAATAAGCATAGTTTATTTCCAAGGACCCTTAACAAAAACTGCCATGGCTGTATTTAAAATGTGTGCTCTACTCTAGTTTCTTTTTTTATTTCTGTTAAAATTGGCCCATATTTTGCTCTTTGGCTATATAAGATGCCAACTTCCTTTCTCCAGTCTTTTTATACATTCTTATAGGTAATAATCATAAACAGGAAGTCTCTGGATTGATTGTGAGTATTTCTTAGTTGTTGCCTAATTGTATCCTGTTAATTACACTTTCTCAGCAGTTACTTTAAAAATAAATAAATTATGGTTTGCTATTTACAGGAACTGATACAAGATATGTGATCAGTTTCGGGTTTTTTTGGTAAATACCTGTTCAGTCTGTAATTCTTTAAAGTGGTGCTCCTGTTCCAACCAGTGATACAGGAACATGACTGTTTTGGTCAGGAAAATAATCTGAAATTTAGACTGTCCAGGCAAACTTATTCACTGCTGCTATCAGCCTTTTAACATTGCTGCTATGTTGACTTAATTAGGCATTAGAAAGTGATGTTTTATTTTTCACTCATCAGTTACTGAGTGCTGAGTCCACAACACCCTGAGCTCCCACTTAAATGTGAAGTCTTTTTCTGCCTCAGACAGACCATGGCACTGACTCTCCTTGTTTTGTTTAATTTTGTTAAGAGGAAATTACAGTGTTATGTACCCACAACTAAAACATGAACATGCACACTTTCTGCTATCTACTTACACATAACTTTCATATTTATGCATTTTACATCTATATATATTTGTGACTGGATCTTGCAGTCTCTTCAGAAAGTCAGACTTAGTTGTGTGTGTGTATAAATAAATGCATAAAATATGGCATTGATTTTCTTACATTGGGAAAGACCTTTAGTTTGTGGTCATGGTGCTCTTAATAACAACCCAAGATAAAAAGGCAGTTGGTTATGTAAGGAATGCATTTCTTTCTTGTTTCCTTTTGGTTTCATGTTGTAGGACAGAGCTGCAAATTGAGGTGGGAGATGACAACCCTTCCCTAATGGGTTGATATTCACAGTCTGTTATGGGAATTGGACGTGTGCTCTAAAAATGTTAAACACTTTTTCCACATGTAGGCAAATGTGTATGTGTCACATGTGTCTTGCATGCAGAAAACACACATTTTTCATTGACCTGCTCAAGCATGTGAAGATACTTCTGTTGAGGCTCTCCACCTGTAGCTGAAGGGCACAGGTCCCAGGGGAAAACAGTCTGGCAGTGCAGGAAGTGACACACATGGCTCTGTG